TAGGTACATTCAGCTGACTAGTCCCAAATAGGATGAAACGCGTGTCCTAGTTTCCGCTGCTAGCCACTATCCATTTTTGCTTACATTAAATTGGTTTTGCCCATCTGAGTTCTCATGAACTACAAATAGATCAAAAAATAACAAAAAAGCTAATATTAGATTACTGGTCTAAGTTTTCTGTAAAAAATGCTTTAGAAGACATTTTTTGAATCTATTCCATATTTACTATATGATTTACTAATCCATATCATAATACAACGATCACTAGGTTTGATCATAAAAATATATGTAATTGACAGTAAATGTAAATATTTTGGCTTGAGAATGTTACAATTATGCTGGTTACATAACAGAACACTAAAGTGTTCAACTAACATGCTTATCTCAAATATTATATGAGTACTCTCCATCTGTGGTCTGCTTAAATGTTTGAGTCGTCTATTTTCCAATTAAGCATAAACTGCAATAAACCCTCCAATCTTAATTAAATAACTATGAATTTCTACTGTCATGCAGCTAAACACAAGAGATTTTAAACTGGAACACTGCACTTGTTAGGATATTCTCTTCTCTGTATATCCTTTGAACAAAAGAAGGATGATTATGTTGTAATTTATGAATTCAATATCTGATGGATGAAAAATCAAGTTTTATCGCCTAACCTGATAGTAAATTTTTGCCACTGAAGGAAGATCCTAACTATCGGTTAAGTGCTCTGACGTGAGACTGGTAGGTCCTGGGTTCGAACCTCACTCGCGAGACGGGATCGTGGATGCGCACTGCTGAGGAGTCCCATAATAGGATGAAACGGCCGTCCAGTGCTTTCAGGTTTTCCATGGTGTTTCGGTTCAATTGACTCATGATTTCAACTACGAAAATACTTAAATCTCCACAAAACCCCTTCTGATTAAAAGAAACATTCATAGAATTCAACTTTCGAATAACTACAACCATTTGAATGCATTTTAAAGAGAAATTTAATGCAATGTTGCATAAATGATATTGAGAATTGTAGAGAGCTGAAACTTGGAGAACTACTATAACCATCATCAAAAAAGTACAAGTATTTATCAACAATTGTCTACTCAAGATACTGAATGTTCGTTGACCGGATACTATCAGCGACAACCTATCGTAGGAGAGAACAAACCAGCTTCTAGATGAAGAGAAAATTAGGGTAAGATTCTTGAGGGTGATAGGACATACGTTATGGAAATCATCATGAGGCAAACGCTAACTTGGAAGATATTGCTCAAGGATTTGGAAGCAGACATCGAAAGAATGAATAGCAGCGGGAAAGAACAGGAAAGGATTGTACAGGACAGAGTTTGGTGGAGAATGCTGGTGAGCAGCCTTTGCTTCTCCAAGAAGTGTAGGATACGTGAGTAAGTGAGTAAGACACGTAGAATTCCTTGACGTAACGAAATTTATGGTACCGAATAAAACTATTATTATTATTATTATTATTACTCGTAGTATGGAACGACAAATCCAAATGTCAAGTGATTAGATCAGCTGACCTTACATTAAGTGGACTTTTTTATACTGTAGGATTTAATTTTATTACAATAATATTTATTTTATGTTTACAGTTTAACTATCAAACGATAGGCATTGAATCACCTGAGTTCTGAATGTTGACTGAAATCTTTTGACGAAAGAATAGAATCGGTTATTGAACTAGTAATCTGGCAACTTGATGAAATATAGCCATGAGTTAATTAACCGGCACAGTGTTTGTAAATCCTAATAAGAAACATCATATCGGTTTGCTTAGATTAACTTACGACATTACAGAGATCTTAATCTTCATCTTAGAATGTCCAGATTAAACCTGAGGTCAAATTATATGAACTGTTTAATGAGTGAATTATAGATATAGAATAATACTCAGAATGGATCATTTTTTATTTGAATGCCTTGATGATAATCTTTTGATCATAGTAATGAACGACAATGAGTCTAACCTATAAATATGAGTTAGTTCTCCTTAAAGATTGAAAATGTTCCTATTGTATAATGTATTCGTAAATGTACAGTTTAAATGTATGAATCGGTGTTATTAATTAGTTCCATGTTTGATCATCGTATGTAGGAGAGTAAAACAAATGAGATCGGAAAATTACTCCAAATTTTGAACTCATTTTAGTATTGTTTGTTTGAACCCCATCGCACAAGCAAGTGGCTATCAGGACTCGGTGGTCGAGTGGATAACGCGATGGCGTTTCAAGCAAAAGGTACTGGGTTCGAGTGCCAGAGTGAACATCGACTCTGAGATGCAGGTACATCCAGCTGATTAGTCCCAAATAGGACGAAACGTGCGTCCTGGATTCCACTGCTAGCCACTATCCACCTTTGCTTACTTCGAATTTTGTTTCTCTCTTGGTCATAACCTGTAGTGGTACACTAATTTTAAACGATCCACTGTTAAAACAATTAAAATTATCTACAGAGGTTAGTATTTTCATTACTATGTTCATTTGTATAAGCAGTTTGATCTATTCCCATCATTAAAGATTTACTTCTAGAAAGAAGAAAATTTATTAGTTCCACTAGGAGACACTATAGACCAATTCAAATTTCAATTCTTTATTGTAGGTACATTAGATTTAAGTACATGTTGAGGATGTAGGATATGAAACAGCTAGTATGATACTTGTTTAAAAAAGTATAATTTGATCGTCATTGTAAATGAACTATGAATTCACGACTATGTAAATCCATTTTATAGTAAATACGAATGACTTCTTTAAGTGTGACCGTAAAATGTTGATGAACCTTGAATTTTTACGTGAATTTTATGAATCCGTATGACTAGATAGCATTCTTAAATTAAAGCCACTATCAATTGATGATGACAACCTCAACTCTAATCCCTTATCCCGAATCCTGATCCTGAGTCCTCAAAGTAATTTACAGACCTATTTCGACACTAATAAGTGATTGAAATTTCTTAAAATCACTTTAGTATCGTTTAGAAGTTGTTTATATATATCATAGACTCAATATTCTTTATATCGAAATCCATTAAAACTGACCTTCATCAAGTTTGTTGACCTAATGTTACACGAAGTTCCTTAATAGGATAATAAAATATATGAAGTGACTCAGTTTTTCCTAATAATAATATTAACACCTCATACTGTAGTGAACAAGAACACCAGTGAGGAAGATCATATGTACTTAAGCACAAATTACAGACTATCTCACTCAATTCTTATAACCATACAGTAAACAGTTAATTTGCGAAATAACAATCAATTGTCTCAATCTTAACTGTCCCTTCCGCAAATATCAGTCCGTCTTCTGTGATTTAATTGTTGATGCATGTTTCATACCAATCGCGCTTCATTCCTATTCTTTCCTTATCGAACTTCTGCCAAAATACATTCTATCTTTGACCATCACCATATACTACTTATGCGTATGTAAGTAGACTACACCACAATATTATTCAAGTTTATTAATGATATTTTACCTATAATAAATTTTACAGTGCCTTCTTCTTCATTTTTCATTTACAAACAGTAACTACATATGTTCCTCTACAACTGAAGAATATATGGAAATCAAAACAACCCTCAACTAATTTCAAAGTGAGAATCTTCAATACGAACGTCAAGACAGTCAGTTCTGCTGTACGGAGCTGAAACGTGGAGAACTACTACATTCATTGTAAAGAAGGTACAAGTATTTATAAACAACTGTCTACGCAAAATACTCAACATTCACTGGCTGAATACTATCAGTAACTGTTTACTATGGGAGAGAACAAACCAGCTTCCAGCTGAAGAAGAAATTAGGAAAAGACGTTAAAAGTGGATAGAACATACATTACAGAAATCACCAATGTGCATCACGAGGCAATCCCTAACTTGAAACTCGAAAGGCAAGCTGAAAAAAGGAAGGCCAAAGAACATATTACCCAGGGAGCAGGTATGAAAAGGATGAATAACAACTGGAAAGGATTGTCCAGGACAGAGTTGGATGAAGAATGCTGATGGGCGGCCTATGCTCCTCGACGATGAGTAATAAGCGTGCGTAAGTAAGTAAGTAAGTAATTAATTAAATACATATAACTGATAATGATGTAATAACATGAACAAATCATAATTCTGAAATGTTTATTTTATTTTTAAATTAATATGCATTTAACTGAAGATGACCTTGAAAATAAAATTTAAACAAGAAAGTTTATTCCTTGTTTTCATTCAATCAGTTAAACAACCGAATAGTAAACCATTGACCATGTTACTCTTATGTAAATAATAAAGAATAAAAACTATATAGACAATATTGTTCTATAATAACAGTAATGGTAATAATAATAGTAATAATTATTATAATAATGATTATTATTATTATTATTATTATTACATATAACATTGAATGACCTTAATCTGTACATATGTAATCACTATTCATTACATTGGTTACGTAATCTTTATTTTACAATGAACAGTAATCTATTGAATTCATTCATTAGAGTAATTATATAATAAATACCTGAAAGTAATAATTGTCCAATTGCAATATGTGTGTATACTGTATGTACTAATAATAGTAATAATAATAATAGTAATAGTAATAGTAATAATAATAATAATAGTAGTAGTAGTAGTAATGATCATTATTATTATTATTATTATAACAAGCTGTAAGACAAAATGATTTTGATCAATGTTACTAGGTCCATTGAATTATGACATAAACCAATGAAAATAGAATAAATAATTAGAGGAAAAAAATAATAATAGAGAAGAATAAATAAAAGAAAATTAGATTGGATAAAATAAAAAGAGTGTGTGTGTGTGTGTGGGGGGTGATGGATATTACTATCAGTGATCATTATCAGTATTATGATGATGAGGATGATGATGATGATGATTATTGAGCAAATGTAAAAATATAATCTGGATAAGAGGAGGAATGTTATTATTGATTTGTTTCGAAGGACTTTTTCTTTTTTTTTCTCTTTTCGTTTTTCTTTATTTTTTCTTGATGAATGAATTGAGGGATTCAATAGATAAGAAGGTTTGATGTACAAGTTTTTTTCTTTTATGACTGAATTATTCTTAGAAATTCTATAAAGTATAAAGAGGAACAAAAAAAATAAGTCAATATGAGAATATTATCAGAAGGGGAGTTTTTGTGGATATTATAGTAATTGTTAATAGTTAAGATTATGAATTAATTGACGCTAGATCACTATGGATAATCTGGAAGTACTGGTCGGCTGTTTTGTCCTATTATGGGACTCCTCAGAATAGGAGAAATTGGATGAAAAACAAAATATGTATTTAGAATAACACAGGTGAAAAGTTGATAAGTTTACTATAAAGCAATGGATGTATTTTGGAAAAATACATGTTATAACTTTGATCCTTTCTGAAATGTGTCATTCATTCATTTATCATATTCAGATTTGTGAATCTGGTTAGTAATACTGTAGTGTCAGTTGATATGTTAAGGCCCATATACCCCCTTATTCTAGCTCCTGGATAAGCCAATTTACCTATCCATCTTGAGTCATGTTTCGACCTTATTAGTTATTCACTTATTAACCCTGGCTATTTTTATACAATCGTATGTGTGTACACTTTTCATCTTATTCACCACATGTCTGTAACTTATTCTGATCTGACTATAAATATTGATTAACGCTTGATTAAAGCGAGCCGGCTTACCCGCCATCTCCAATGAGCGTCATTTTCGCTTGCTCGCTGATATTTGTTCATGTGTTTATAGCTTTCTGCTTGCGTCATTAGTTAATAAAACTGTAGTTGCCGCTTCTCTTTGCCTTCTGATTTTATGCACCATTAAGATTTGTATTATAACGGTTATCGAGGTGGACAATTAATGAAGCACGGCACTACAATACGATCCAGCTATCTAAACTTAAGACTAAAGTTTAATATCTAGCCTCTCAAATTAAAAAAAAGAATTCAGCAGTTAAAACTAACTTGATCGATCGTATATGATCAGAACTAAAAAGGACTTGATGTACATGACATTAGTTGCTATTCAGTGATCGATAAATTGTAAAAACATCTTAGTCCTACAAGAGGTCATTCACGATCGAGTTAGCTCAGTTATAGCATTTGTGATTGGGAAGCTTGGTGAAACTGGATGGAATACCTCAGGGAGCATCAGTCTCCACAGGTTTACACATTAACCTTATTGACGAGTGACGAATAGCACGAAACCTAGGTTGAGGGTTTCTTTTAACCATTGATAATAGCAATTTAATAATTCATTTTTTGTATTGGAATTATGTCAACAGAAATAGTCATCAGTTTTTAAATGTTTGAAATCTTCATTCATGGATTTCTACTATTGATTAACACACCATGTGTACCGTTGCTTTGGAATCAGGGTTTTCCAACTCCCTAGGTGGACTCTCCGTGTTCACCAACCCGGTTAAAGCGCCGGACATTCGCTATTCGTCCTCTCAATTTCGTAACTAACTGTAATGCCATGATAAAGCAGGGAGTAGAGATTTGTAGTGTAAAAATGTGAAATGTGTAAGAATGTCTGACATGTCCCTTGGTTCTAAAAGACTCACTAAATGAAATATATTGTTTCTAACAAACAAGAATGTTGTATTATATTAAGTCTAATATGCTTTGTTGTCCATAAACACAACTATATATATATTATAACCCTTGTACTACACTTCGTACTACAGTCATCGAAGATTCCAGTATTTAGATAGATTTTTATGTACAATGATTTAGAACTGAAAAAAGGCATGACTGTTACTATTTGTTAACACACAGATACTTTCTTAACTGAGAACTGTTATGTAATGGATAGCACTATTTATTTTCATTCATACTATTTAGTAAACATTTTTCGTAGAAATGTTTTAAAAGACTATTCTGTGTTTTAATAGTTGAATTCATAAGTTGATTAAAGCGAGACAACCATTGAAAACCTAATAGTACTGGACGGCCATTTCGTTCTAGTATGGGACTTCTCAATAGTACGAATCCACGACCCCGCACCAAAGGGTTTTTAACTCAGGACCTTAAGTCTCTCACACAAACGCTTAACCTGTAGACCATTGAGCCGGCATCCAACAGTGTTAATGTTTAAATTCGAACAATCCACGAAATTGCGTGATCATTTTCCATTGTCTGAGTTAGATATCTGTCTCTAACTGACACGGATTAGCTTCACTGGTCATGTTTAAGCTTTCGCGAATGAGACTCAAGGTCCTGGGTTCGAATCCTTTTAGTGCGGGGTCGTGGATTAGTACTTTCGAGGAGTCCCATAATATAACAAAATGGCTGTCCAGTACTCCCAGGTTTCCAATGGTTGTCGAGCTTTAATCGACTTATGAATTCAACCATTAGATTACTACAATCTCCACAAAACCCCCTTTTTGATAATATTCTATATTTATTACAAATCAATCATAATGATATTAGCATGTCTCATAGGTCTTTTTCTTTACCTCTAATAATAAATTTCGAAAGTATAACCATATATCTTTAGAAAGTGGTAACTAGTTTTTGATGCTACTGAAGTATATTATCATTATGTTTACGTACAAACGTTTTGAGCCCAATTATATAAAGATACAGCATAATGAGAAACTAATCATCACGGGTTATGATATCATTTAAACGTTGAACTAAACTCATTGTAAACTTACAGTAATGAATGATTACGTTCTTTGTAACAAAATATTAACACTGTCGGGTGACAAGTTTAAGGAGTGTGTAAAGAGGGAAGGTGCAACAAAATCTTCGGTTATGTAGGAACTGGTATGAAAAATAAATTTAAACCCCAGTTGTTTTAATGACACTTGAAATGTTCCAGAATATTCTGCTCGTATGAGATACCAGAAAATTTCTAAAATTTCATTGTTTCTTCTATTTGGGGAACTTTCTTTCAACAGGTAAACTCTTTGAATATTGATTAACAAAGAGGATTCTCTTGAAACGTTCCAATTCAAGATGAAATAAATGTTCACTGTTCTTCAATTTCTTTAGATAATATGAATTCATGATATAAATTATCTTTTGTACAGAAAAGAAAATCCTGAAGACTAATTTCTTAAGAAACTAAGGGGGAATTTATGAACTTTGATGTGTGTAAGTTAGCCAATAACTCATTAATAATATTCAGTGGGTATTATATTATGAATTCACTTAGTATTGTTTATTTGAATCTTTCCATTGACGTTTAGGACTACAATTGATCAGTCTCTTATTGGTCATATGTGTATACTGTGCGGTCTGCCTCGATTTTGCCTGAATTCACAAGCATTATAAGCAAAGATGGACATTGGCTATCAGTGGAATCCAGTTTGACGCTCGATTCGTCCTATTTGGGACTCGTCAGCTGGATGCACCTACATCTCAGAGTTTATGTTCATTCTAGATTTCGAACCCAGTACCGTTCTTTTCAAGCGCTATCGCGTTATCCCCTTAGCTACTGAGTTCTGATAGCCACTTTCTTGTACAGGTACATCCAGCTGAAGAGTCCCAAATAGGACGAAACGCGCGTCAAACTGGATTCCATTGCTAACCACTATCCATATTTGCTTATAATACTTGGGTATTATATTATGTTTATTCTAAATTAAATCGAATTGAAATTGTAGATCACTGAATTTCAATCAGTCATATAGTCATTTATGTGCAACTCCAAAGCTGAAACCATGTAAAAAGTATACAAACATGTTTGTAATGATAATTTCAACTTACCATACATATTTTGCTCATCTCTTTCTCACTCTAACTATGTTCAAATGTTTCACCTACCATTGATAGATATTGTTGATTTATTTTCATTATGATATGTGGGAGCTCTTAGTTTATCAAATACAGATACATCGGTATTTGTAGCATATTGTAATAATGTATTGGTTGTATTTGTTATATCTAAGTCAGGATTTTGAAAATGCATTAAATGATCAATAGAAAATGGTTTATTTAGATTGTCAGAACGATTTATTACTTCTTCATCATTCACATTATCATCATCGTCATCGTCGTCGTTGTCATCGTCGTCATCATCATCATCATCAGCATCCTCATTGTCACCATTATCATCAACCATTTCGTGATTGATATTCATTTCAGTGTTAAGTTTGATATTGATGCCTTCTTTAGAGTGTTCATTTGTCATTTTACTATTATTGAGACATTGAACGGTTAAATGATCATTATGTTCAATTTCTTTATCATTTTTAGGTTCTGTTAAATGTAAATAGTTTGCGTTCCATGTATTTGATTCTAGTATTCCTGAAGGAAGATTTAGAAAAGATTCAGATGTAACATATAAAGGATTTGTGACTGTCATTGTTGCTGATAATAATGATGAGGGTGTTGTAGAGTAGAAAGAATTCGATGGAGTACTTAACGTACATAACAATGATGATGATGTTGACACAGAGCTGTTTAATGAAGAGGGCATATACGAAGATGATATTGTTGATAATGAAACCGATGGTGTTACATGTGAAGCGTTAATTATATTAGATAAATTATGTACATTCATTGAGTTGGCAAACGATGTTTCACTGCATGAAATATATGAACTTTCATCAGTCAGTGATATATGTTCATAGTTATGGCCTAAATACGGTGATATTATTGTTGTTGACGTTGCTGCCGTTGTTGTCGTCAGTGTCGTCGTCGTTGTTGTTGTTATTGTTGTTGTTGTAGCTAATTTTGTAACATTTGATTCTGTTAACATAGATTGTTGAATATTCGAGTATTCATTATAATGATATTGTTGTTGTGTACTGTATTCATGTTCTAATTCAAATTGTTTTTCACTCTGTTGACAGTTAGGATTCATAGTATAATATTTTTCTACTGTTGGAGTTAAAGTTAAGTGATCCATGATCAGTTCATTATAGTTATCATTATTGTTAGGTTTAGTACTACTATTAGTAATATTAGTAGTAGTAGTAGTCATAGAGATAGTAGTAATCGAGTTATTATTTAATATATTTGTAATATTTGTACATTTTGTTAGATCATTCACTGGATTATATCGACGTATACTACAATCCATATTTTCATCATAGTATAATTCAGTTGAATGATGATGATGATGAAATGTACCTGACGAAGGTTGTGACAAATTGAATGAATTCAATGAAAATGAATGATCCAATTGAGTATTCCGTAGTTCACTTGTTGAATAGTCTGTTAATGAATTATTTCTAGTATATATGGATGGTGAATTAATGGTGACACGATGATATAAATCTAACATATTTGTATGTATACTACTGATTTGATTAGTACAAGTAGTTTCTTTCATAGATGAGATAATATTGTTCGTAGATAATTGTTGTTTATTATCAAATTGTTGAATAGAATGATGATTATGATTATGAAATGGTTGATGAAGTCTATAATTAACGAAACTATTCATTTGTTCATAATTACTTTCTGGATATATAATATCTGTAATATACCGTGTTGAATCACGACTATCATAAGGACTTAATAGAAATAATTGAGATGACTTACATTTATTTATTAATTTTTCATTATGATCTTCAATTAGATCAGTTGTAATCTTAGTTTCATTATGTTTTGGATGTTGTCTAGATTTTGAAGATATTGATTGTTGATTGTGAAGATGATGTTGAGAATTGTAATATTGACGTTGTTGTTGTTCCATCATTGAATTATCGGTTTGTTTATTATTCATTAAATCAGATCTAATAAAGTTGTTCTGTTTGCTGTTAGTTGTCCTACTGAGATCATTTTGTTGTTGTTGTCGTTGTTGCCGGTCTCCTTCGTCATCACCATAGTTACCATCATCATCATCATATTCTTCTTCTTCTTCATTGATTTCTTCATCTTCTAAATTAGCACCAACATTGTCATCATCATCATCATCATCTCCATCTCCGTCATCGTCATTATCATCCACGCCATTCAGTTCATCATATACTTCATTTGTATCTGATGTAATACCAATAGGAAATGGTTTCATTCTATTATACAATATATGATCATTAAGTTCAATGTTCAATAAAGGATTACAATCTGTTTTTGAATATGTACGTTTCATACCGGTTGGTAATATTAAAAGATCATTAGTTGAATGTAAAATAGTATTTTCACTTGTGGAACTAACATCTCCTATATTTCTATTGTCAGTTGATGTTAATGATGTTGTTGAAGATGTCATGATATTACTAGTACCATTATTATTATTATTATTTCGTAGATTACGATGACTTATTTCACGTTTAGGATCTTTAAAACGTTTTTGTCTTCTTAAATAACAACCATTTTCAAACATATTCCCTGAATCTGGATGTAATGTCCAATAAGAACCTTTACCTGGTTTATCTGGACTACGTGATACTTTAATAAAACAATCATTAAATGATAATGAATGTCTTATTGAATTTTGCCATCTTTGTTGATTTTGTCTATAATATGGAAATAAATCAATAATAAATTGATATATTTCTGATAATGTACACATATGTGTTGTTGAATTTTGTATTGCCATAGTAATTAAACTAATATATGAATATGGTGGTTTTGGATGACATGATTGTTTTGATAGATTAGGGGAATTTTGTAAAAAATTTGTATGATTATTTAATTGTTGTAATTGTTGTTGATGTTGATATATCATAGATGGTACTGGTAATGGAACATTAGATCCTTTCGATGATATTAATGATGATGATGATGACGACGACGACGACGATGATGATGATGATGATGAATTTGATGTCGTCGATAATGATGATGTAATTTGTTTTTTATAATCTATTTCATTTTGATAATTTTCTAATGGATGAGATTGTTTATTCAATTGTAATAGATTAGAATTTAATTGGGAATACTCTGAATTTGATGATGTACGATAATGTTGTTGAGATTGTGTATAAGGATGTTGTTGATGAGGGAAATGATGAAGTTCCGCTGCATCGAAATATTCTGTACATAATTGTGAATTCGTGAAAAATTTCGTTGAATATGTCGGTAGGAATGTTAAATTTTCTGGTATACAAATTGAAGACTCATGATCATGACCATTACTTGTAGTAATGGTATTCGTAAATTGACGGAATGTTTCATCAACCGATGTGTTCGGATAACGATTCATTTGATTAGTTTGATGAATATCATTTTTCTCACCTGTAGTCAATGTGGTTACTTTAGACGTGATTGTAGATAAAGTTAAAGGAGACAATGTTTCAATTAGACTAAGAGGATTGTCATAAGATTGAATAAAATCAATCTTCTTATCAACTGTTGTTTTGTGTTGAGGATGATTACTGTCCAACTGATGATGTTGGTGTTGATGTAAACATTGACCAGATTGTGAATTAATCTTGTCAACTATTTCTCCATATTCTCCAATATTTGACCATAATTCATTTGTTGTTAAACTGTTGTTATTATTATTTTGATGCCAAATCGGTGAAGTAGGATTATATGTTTGTTTATCAAAATGTATCATTCCACTAGAAGGTGTTGTATTCATAATACATGAAGATGGAATGGTTACTGATGAACATGATGATAACGTCGTTAGTGTTGATGACGTTGATGGATGTGAACAATAAGTTGATGAGAAATTTGGATGCCATGTTATATTATCATTTAAATAAAGAAAATTCAATGAATCTGATTGATAAGTTGAATAATTTACTGGATGTATATCAGGATCAGTTGTTGAATCAATTCTTTTCGTTGTAAGGCTACAATTAATTGGATTAGATCCTTTCATGTTATCCTCATCTTCATTATTATTTGATAGATTAGTTGTCAATATACACTGTTCACTATTCATTGGCTTGCTCCAACCAGAGAAATTTGTGATGAAAAGGCAAATTTGTAAATTCTCAATGTTAACTTAATAAGGATTTCAAAGAAGCATTCTGTTATGTATATATGAATTCAAACGTCACTTAATCTTGTTTTATCACTGTCGATTCTATTGATGTAGAACAATATCCAAAACTTGACACTATACTATTACACTTACTCAGGTGAATACTAATGTCGTCATAAGTTCAGAATGATATTAGTTTTGATAGATCTAGTATTCTATATTGATGTTCTATTCAACAATCCATAGAAAAGATGCTCTATGTACGACATATATACATACACCTACGCCTTCTTTTACCTTACGTCAAGCATAACCAAGTTACTAATAAATGTCTTTTATAGGTACATTATATGTATGTATGTATGCCTTTGAGTATACACTATTTACTTTATTTACTTTAAAACCACAATAAGTTTTCTAGAAATGAAAGTAGACTTTAAAAAAAGTCCATTTATTGGTTAAATTCAAATCTATCTTATTCAATTGTAAGCGTTTAGTTTGTTCATTTCCGTCTCAAATAACCACACACACACACATCTCAAATAAGACTACTACTACTACTACTAGTACTACTCCTTCCTCTCTTTTTTTTCTTTACCTACCTTACAATGAGAATAATGAAAAATTGTTGTCATGTAAGATTCGCGAATAATTTTCATTGGTTAATTAAATAAAAATCTATAAAGCGATTTACTATAAATTTTTTGATTGGTTATTTTAATTTGAGTAGATGAACAAGAAGGTTTGAGTAAATAAAATCAATTTATTTAATTTCTTATATCCATGAGATCATAAGTCAATTGAAGATAGACTACCATAGAAAATCTGGAAGCACTGGACGGCCGTTTCATCCTATTATGAGAATCCACAGCAGTGCTCACTCACGATCTCGCAATCGCGAGATTCGGACCCAGAACCTACCAGTGTCGCGCCAGAGCACTAAACAGATAGACCAACGGTGTTAATGTCTAACTTCAACCGTTCATCAATTGTTTTCAGTGAGTTGATATCTCTACAACAGAGTTGGTTGAACTCCACTGGTCACTGCTTCCCACTAGAACTCTAGGTAACATCTTTTGAAGTCAGTTACTAGTGAGCATATGATTAGTAGGAACTTGTCAAACGAATGTAATGATTTCTCAAACTGACTATTCTGGTTAAGAAAAAGTTATTATTAAAAGCTTACCATATTTTTAAAAAAAAATTAAGATCATGAACTAACCAGTGTTAGACTAATGTTAACATGGAAGCGCTGGACAGCCGTTTCGTCCTAGTATGGGACTCCTCGGCAGTGCGCATCTACGATCTTGTGCTTGAGATTCGAACCCAGGGCCTTTGGTCCCGTACGCGAACACTTATCCTGTAGATCAGTGAATCGGCATCCAACAGTGTTAATCTTTAACTCCAACCAATCAACGATATTTAGTGACTGTCCACCATTGTCTTCAGTGAGTAACTGCCTCACAATAGACACAGTTGAGCTGCACTGGTCATGGTTTTTCACTAGAACTCTAAGAAATCCATCTTGAAGCTAGTCTCTAGTGAGTACATGATAATTTTCATTATAGGCTTGTGGAGATAGTTTTAGTTTTTTTTTAATGTGATGATTGTTTGGGTGAAATAAATCAAATAATAATCTTAAATGATATTTTATTTAAATTTAAACCTTCCGTAAAGAACTGATATCACAGAAACAATCAATCAGTAAACTGCTGAAACCCCAGACACCAGTTCTGTTGTATTTAGGACTCGTCAGTTTGAAGTATCAGTTTTCCAGAGACTGATTAGTTCCTAAACAGTCCTAAACAGTCCTAAATCAGTCCTAAACATCAGTGGAAAAATCCAAACAGTCAATATATATGAATTTAAATTTAATCCACTGCACAACTCAGTGGTCATCTGGACTCAGTAGTTAAGTTGATAACGAGATAGTGTGTGAAGCGAACGATAAACAGTTGGAGTCCATGAGTCAACATTAACTTTCAAATGAAGAGGGATTCAGGCGATGAGTTTTGAACTGAATAAAAGGCTCGTCTTCAATTTTCCTGCTAGCTGTTATTAATCTTTGAGTCACAATGGATATATTAACGAATGAACTATATTAAACTGAAAGTTGTAATCATAAATTAATGACCAAAGTTAGACAACTATTGAAAGTTTGGAGGGGTTGGACAGCCGTTTCATCCTGTTTTTGAATTCTTTAGAGGTGTTCACTCACAAACCAACCACTAGAGGCCGAACCCAGAACGGTACCTTTCTCGCATAAACGCTTGACCTCTAGGCCACTAAGCTAGGACCTCAGGTTCGATACCTGGTGGTCGTAAAGGCACAACGCCGAAGAGTCCCGTACTGGGAATAAATGACCAGCCAGTGTTTTTAGGTTTACAATGGCTGTCTAACTTAAATCGCTTTATGATTTCAACCAGGTCATTTAGTTTTAGTATTTTGTCTAATTATGTAGTCATTTGATTTTTAACCATACGTATCATTGGTTATGATCTCTTCTATCTTGCTTTATATGAATAGATTTTTTAAACACCACTAAGTGTAACACATTAAAAACAATTGTTTAGTGTCAGTCAGTCTGTATAACTTATTTTGATTGAGATCATGAATCATTCAATGTTAGACCACCATTGAAGACCTGGAAGCACTACAAAGCGGTTTCGTTCTAAGGTTGGGACTCCTCAACAGTGAACATCCACAAAATAGTTCTTTGATTTTCTATTCCCTATCAGTCTTTCAGTTCAAATTTACTAACTAAAGTATACTAGATCTTTGTTTCTAAAAACAGTAATCCTTATAAATTCAGTTTGTTTACAATGGATGTAAAGTTTTCGGGATCGAATTCATTTGATGCTTGTTTACATTCTGTCGAAATAGTTAATGTATATAGACAGTTTTAACCCTAGATTGTAGAGTGATAATTTGTTAATGAATGTTTGTTTGCCTTTTCCAAATACAAGTTAGTTAAAAAAGAATAGCAAAGTATATTGTTTCTTGTCTCATTAAATCGTTTCTTTATTAATGTATCTTGTTCTTGGTACTCATGATGACTTTAAAATGTTTTGAAGAAAACTGTCAATGATTCCTTCTGTTATCAGGGACTAACGTTAATTGAGAAAAGTAAGGATTACTGAATAGTTACTTTGCCCCAATCCACATTCGTTACCATATACATTAATGCAACCAGGATATGGAAATGTAACTACAGACATGGTACCATCAAGTCAATGAATCAGAACTCAGTGATCGATAGTTTGCAGTTGTAGTGTCATCCATCATTTAATACAACCGACAAACAACCATCTTTCGCCTGACTCAATTACTTCCAACTTTCACAAATCCATATTAAATTTTTGGTAAATAATTCCTCTTCAAGGAAATAAACCATTATTAAATAGACTAAATCGATCATGAACTTACTTTCTCTTCCACAGAATCCAGAAGAAGTGTGTACAACATCAACCAGAAAAAAAGTCACTGTTACCATATGTTGAGACTTTTCGACGGCGTATAATAAAAGCAAGTGTACAGGTAGTTTATTTCAGATAATCAATATATTAAATAAAATAATCGACTTCCTATAAATGAAACTTTCACTTTACACAGCGTCCTTTTTCCACTAATCACCCATCATAATAGAGAATACTGATTGATATAACAAAGACGTCAAACAGTGTACAATAGGTTAGAAGATATGCTAACAGATCATTCAATTTGTTTAAATGATATAACAACACTTGTTCAAAACTTCTTAAGTGAAAACTATTTTAGAGAACATCACTTACTTACTTACTTACGCCTGTTACTCCCAATGGAGCATAGGACGCCGACCAGTATTCTCCAACACACTTTGTCCTGGGCCTTCTTTTCTAGTTCTATCCAGTTTTTGTTCATTCTCCTCATGTCTGTCTCCATTTCTCGGCGTAATGTGTTCTTTGGTCTTCCTCTTCTCCTTTCGCCTTAAGGATTCCATGTGAGGGCTTGTCTTGCGACGCAATTGAGTGATTTCGTCAAAGTGTTACCAATTCACTTCCAGTGCTTCTTCCTGATTTCTTCCTTTGCTGGATGGAATCTGGTTTGTTGTCTCTCACAGTAGCTTGTTGCTGATAGTGTCTGGTCAACGGATACGAAGTATCTTGCGTAGACAACTGTTAATAAACACTTGTATCTTCTGAATGATGGCTTTCATAGTACTCCACGTTTCCGTCACATACTTTAGAGAACATTGCTATTATAAAATATATTTAATATCATAATTGTTAAACTGAAGTATGATAAGAGAATGACGCTGATTATGATCATAGTAAATATTACTAGTAAGTATTACTATAAGTAATATGGTGTAGCCTAGTCGAAATGAAGTTACTTGTTTTTATAATCTTAGTAGAAGGTATTCTGTTAAACTAATTAAATTTCCTTGAAATAGAGCCCTGTCACCAAGTATCCTGTCCTAATAACTAGACTTGTGTCCTCCCTTAAATAATCAATTTAAGGGGAAATTCCTGGAGTTTTTATGAGAAGTTGTAGCCAGAAAAATTCAGCCTTTGGGGATTAATATTGGTTGTATAATATTATGAATCACTTAAAACTAGAAATGTGACGGACTGGATAATAACTAAGCGGTTTTAATAGTTGAATTCACAAGCCAATCTAAGCTAGAACACCACCGAAAATGTGGAAGCTATGAACAGCCGTTTCGTCTTAGCTTGGGACTCCCTAGCAGTGGACATCCACAATCTCACTCGCGGAGCTCAAACCCAGGTTTAAAGATTAAGCGTTCGCGAGTGAGATCGAAGGTCCTGGATTCGAATCCTGCGTGCGAGGTCGTGGGTGTGTACTGCTAAGATGACCCATGCTAGAACAAAAAGGCCATCAAGTGCTTCCAGATTTTTCATAGTTGTCTAGCATAGATCGACTCGTGAATTCAAATGTGAAAATATTACAAGTTCCACAAATTCCCATATTGATAAGTAGTCTTAAGCTAAAATTTTTTTATCTTTCCGGAAGTTAAGGGTAGTCACTTCGATAGAGTCTTTAATTGTTCAATATTTCCCTGTTATCCGCGATTGTCTTCGAACTGAACGTTTTTACTAAATTCCTACAATCATGTAAGATCATATTTATTGAAATTACCAAACACTGATTTTGTTACTAAGCTTTTGTCTACAAAAAAGAATACAACAATATTGTACATGTTGAATGAGATGCTCTCGTGTTAGATGTGCATCATCGCAGAAATATGGTACAGAAGTGGAGAATTAAAAGTATGGTATTATATGAATTTGGAGATTTAAAGGAGAATT